GTCGTCGCCGCCGTCGTCGTCGTCATCGTCGTCGTCGTCGGCGTCGTCGACGTCGTCGTCGTCGGAATCGGTGTCGTCGTCGTCGTCATCGTCGTCGTCGTCGTCGGCGTCGGCGACGTCGTCGTCGTCGACGTCGTCGTCGTCGTCGTTGTCGTCGTCGTCGTCGAAGTCGTCGGAGACGTCGTCGGTGTCGTCGTAGTCGTTGTCGTCGGTGTCGTCGTAGTCGGTCTAAAGAGATTTTGCAAACCACGTTGCGGGTGGGTGGGTGGGATGTTTGCAAGAGCGTGGGATGTGTCAAATCATGGGTACAAATCAGCTGCACCACATAGCTTACACCACATAGCTTGCACCATATAGCTTGCGCATCCACAGTGCACCAACATACTGGTTGGGTCCACGATGTGTAACAGTTAGCTTGGGCAGTATTTGTTTTGTGTGAGGCGGCGATGGGAGGAGGGAGAGTTTGGGATCCAAATGCGGGCATTGCATCAGCGTGCCTTTGTTCTAGGCCTCGCTAGTGGGATCCGGATAGATTGGGTCGGGGGATCGCGCCGCATCGCCGATGCATCGGCGATGCGGCTCGACGCGGAGCCCGATTGTCTCCACGCCGACGTCGCCGATCCATCGCCGATCTCGTCAATGCATCTCGACGATGCTGTGCAATCCTCCGAGCTCATCTGCTCGGACCCCATGCCCAGAACGGCGGCCCCTGGGGGCATACCTACCAGTGAACATGGGCCTTACCACTGTGGCACCCCTGGGGAACGGCCATAGCAGCTGCGCTGGGGGGAGGAGGAGGAGGAGGAGGAGGAGGAGGAGGAGGAGGAGGAGGAGGAGGAGGAGGAGGAGGAGGCGGAGGAGGCGGATGCGGAGGCGGAGGCGGAGGCGGAGGCGGAGGCGGAGGCTGAGGCGGGGGCGGAGGCGGAGGCGGAGGCGGAGGCGGAGGCGGAGCGGAGGCGGAGGCTGGAAGCGGAGGGCGGCAGGAGGAGGAGGAGGAGGAGGAGGAGGAGAAAGAGGAGGAGGAGGAGGAGGAGGAGGAGGAGGAGGAGAGGAGGAGGAGGAGAGGAGGAGGAGGAGGAAATCGGGAGGAGGAGGAGGAGGGCGGCGGCGGAGGCGGAGGCGGAGGCGGAGGCGGAGGCGGAGGCGGAGGAGGAGGAGAGGAGGAGGAGGAGGAGGAGGAGGAGAGGAGGAGGAGGAGGGAGGAGGAGAGGAGAAGAGGAGGAGGAGGAGGCGGAGGAGGAGGAGGAGGAGGAGGCGGAGGCGGAGGCGGAGGCGGAGGCGGAGGAGGAGGCGGTGGCGGAGGCGGAGGAGGAGGAGCAGGAGGAGGAGGCGGAGGCGGATGCGCAGGCGGAGGCGGAGGTGGAGGCAGAGGAGCAGGAGGAGGAGGAGGAGGAGGAGGACACATACTATACGCATACTACTAATAATACTAATCCGACTAATAGTAATACGAAACAGAAGACGAAGACGAAACAGAAGAGGCATAAGAAAATGATGATGAGGAGGAGGAGGAGGAGGAGGAGGAGGGGGAGGGATGATGATGATGATGATGATGATGATGATGATGATGATGATGATGATGATGATGATGATGTGATGATACATGATGATGCTGATGATGATGATGATGATGATGATGGTGATGATGGTGATGTGATGTTGATGATATGATGATGATTATGATGTGGGATGTGAATATGATGATGATGATTGATTATGATGATGATGATGATGATGATGACGATGATGATGATGTGATGATGATGATGATGATGATGCTGATGATTGATGATGAGATGATGATGATAATGATGGATGATTATGATGACGATGATGATGATGATGATGATGATGCTGATGCTGTGATGATGAGATGATGATGATGATGATGTGATGATGATGATGGATGATGATGATGATGATGATGCTGATGATGATGATGATGATGATGGAGGATGATGAGGATGGATGATGCTGATGCTGCTGTGCTGCTGATGATGATGAAGATGATGATGATGATTATTGCTGATGTGATGCTGTGATGATGATGATGATGAGATGATGATGATGATGATGAGGATGATTGAGATGATGATGATGATGATGCTGATGGATGATGATGATGATGATGATGATGATGATGAGGAGGAGGAGGGGGGAGGAGGAGGAGGAGGAGGAGGAGGAGGAGGAGGAGGAGGAGGAGGAGGAGCAGGAGAAGGAGGCAGGAGGAGGAGGACGGAGGAGGAGGAGGAGGAGGAGGAGGAGGAGCGACGCGGGAGGAGGAGGAGGAGGAGGAGGAGGCGGAGGAGGAGGAGGAGGAGTAGGAGGAGGAGGAGGAGGAGGGGAGGAGAGAGGAGGAGGGGGGCGGAGGGGAGGGGGAGGGGGATGGGGAGGGGAGAGGGGGGGGAGTCTGTGGAGAGGAGGAGGAGGATGAGGTGAAGGAGGAGTGAGAGGAGGAGGAGGAGGAGGAGAAGGAAGAGAGGGCGGAGGAGGAGGAGGGGGGAGGATGAGCAGGAGGCGGAGCCGGAGGAGGAGGAGGAGGAGGAGGGGAGGGAAGAGGAGCAGGCAGGAGGAGGAGCAGGAGGAGCAGGAGGAGGAGGAGGAGGAGGATGATGAGGAGGAAGAGGTGGAGGACGAGGAAGCAGAGGAGGAGGAGGAGGAGGAGGAGGAGGAGGAGGAGGAGGCGGGGGAGGAGGAGGAGGAGGAAGAGGAGGAGGAGGAGGAGGAGGAGGAGGAGGAGGAGGAGCAGCCTTGCACGATGACGTGCAACCCTAAAGGGGACGAGGAAGGGAGCTGCAGGGAGGGAGGGAGGGATCGGTTGAGATGGAGGAGAGAGGGAAAGCGGTCTCAGTCCTCCTCGTTGTCTTCCTTGCCCTCTGCTGTTGTGCGCTTTTGCACACTGCCTCCGAGCCCATGCGCAGCACAAGAAGGAGCAACGCTAGGCCTGCATTGTAGAGTCGACACATGAACACGCCTCTAAGTGAAGATGCCGTCCCAGCTGTGCCTCCCGCCAGTCGAGGGAGGCAGACTGCATACGTAGGCATCAAACCCTCTGAGGTCCGCGCGGATTTCTCGGATCGAGCCGAAGGGGCCGAGGATCTCCTTG